TAAATAGCAAGACCCTGTCTTACACACACACGCACATACACGTGAAGAAGAAAAAAAAGCTACAAAATTTGGTTTTTGGTATCAAATGAATTAGGATTCTGTTAACTCCATCATATTACTGAGTAACCTTGAGTAAAATTCCTTTTTTTTTTCCTCCATTCCTGTTTCCTCAATAAAGCAAGAACATTAACTTTAAAGGCTCATAAAGGAATTAAATAAACTAGTATATATAAACCTCTAAGCACAATGTCTGGTACACAGCAGTATGCCAATTTTCAACAGGCTGAATCAGATTGATTCAGAGAGAATGTGAGATTCAAGGAAAGAGACAAATAGCTGAACAGGAAATAATATATTCCTCAGTTATTCAACCTATTAACTTTAAAAATGTGAACAAAATCGAACAAATTTCTCAAATTACTAAAGTAAAAAAAATGGTAGACTATATATGTAAAAGTATTCTTCCATTCTTCTTATATAATTCTTTGAAGTTCCATGTTCATACCATTTCCTCCTAAAGTCCTAACTCAGATTCTCCTTATTTTGGTCCTCTGATGACCTTTTCCTTAGCCAGACACACACATTTTTAGGTTCAGTTACTATTCTAAAGACTTCTGAGAAATGACCAGAAGCCAGAGATCAGAGAGAATCCACGTTGTACAAAAGAACATGGGCGGGCTGGTGAGATGGCTCAGTGGTCTAAAGCACCTACTTAGAACAAGCTAAGCTAAGCAAAACTCAGGGACCGCAGTTCAACCCCCAGCACCACATGCCAGCCAGCCCCGCCCCCTGGTGGGCTGAGCTGGCCACACACACACACACACACACACACACACACACACATATAAATAAATTAAAAAAAAATTAAAAAACAAAAGAACATGGTCAATGGAAACAGGTTTAAGTCTTACCACTACCACTTTCTAGACATACAACTTTGGGCAAGGCACTTAAAATTTCTCTGGACCACATTCCCTCCTCTGTAAAATGGATATAATGCCCCTATACCTCACAGTGTACTCATCAGGATTATAGAAATACCAATGACAATTCTTGGCATATGAAAAGGCCAATTAACGGTAACTAATATTAGGGCAAAACTGCCAACTGCTGTACTGAACATTTTGCCAGGCTGCACAGTTTTAACAGGCAGAAGAGTCATACTGCTCTCACATTCCCATGCTTATATCCAAAACATTCCATTTTGTGATCTATAATTAACCAAATCAAGAGCTTAAACAATTCAGGGCAAGAATGCACTAACATGGTTCAACTCATTCTCTCCCCACAGCAACAAAGCCAGGGCAACATAGGTAGGTATTGTTGCCAAAGTGGAGTCTGTCCAAACATGGTCATTACTGATAATGATGTAAACACAAGTTAGTTGAAGTTCTTGGGCTTACAGCTTTATTGTCAGAAAATTTTAACTTTTCTAAAAGAAATCTTCTGCCTTGTTCTCTGCTGTTTTTTTTTTTTTTTTTTTTGGGGGGGGGGCTGTTACAGGGTCATATCTTGTCTGCATAGGGTCTTACTACGCAGATCAGACTCATAGTGATCCTCCTGTTTTCAGCCTTCCCAGCACTGGGATGACAGGCATGCGACACTATGCCCTGACTCTATGGCCAGCTCAGTGCACCCTGGGGGTGCATGTAGTGCCGGGGATCTAACCACAGTCCCTGTGCACTTGCCTAAGCAGGTGCTTTAGACCACTGAGCTATCTCACTGGCCCCTAACACCAATTTCTAAGAGAACAGGGAAGACATCCTTTCAAATGCTACCATATTCACTGTGGAAGTTATCTCCACTTTTCATAACTTATTTCTAGAGAGTTTTGGTTTGCTGAGTTCACTTAATGTGAACTTATGAAGAACATAATACAGAAATATATCATACTTCCAGTGAAAAGATCTGGCCACCAGAGTACCACAAGTTACAGGATAGAGGCAAGTTCGAAAGATAAAATAAGACTGACAGTAACCTGCACACCCTATGTTCATTCTTATTAACTACTGTACTTGGAAATTACAAAAAGTTTACTTCCCTTTAATGGCTCTGTGCAGAGTAACAGAACTAAGAAAACTGATGACAGATATATGAATGGAATAAGGAAAACTATCAATGGAAATGTGACTCAACATAAATAAGTTTGTACATGACAATTATGAAATAAGTCACCAAGTACATAGCCAAAGGCTATTTCAATCCTAGTGTTCACAGTTCCTCCATAATAAACCAGAAAGGATCCAAAGTCAGAATGATTAAATAGAAAAATCTAAGAATCAGTAAAGGCTCAACAAATCAAAATATCACGCAGTGAGGTGACTTTCCACTTGAGGAAGGAACTGTCTCACGCCCTTCCATTTAGCCAATATAAAGAAAGCTTAAAGATTCTGAAGAGAAAAAAAAGCTCAGCAATGTCTTTACTTACATCATACAGCTATTTCCTTGCCCAGAACTTCACCTGCTTAACTTTCAACACAGAAGTTTTTGTGTGTGTATGCAATTAACACTGTAAGGCAAGCTCAGCCCTGTCTTCTACAGCCTTAAGGTTGCTGAGTAAATATAGAATCATGGAATATACATTTTAATAATGAAAAAGCAGGAAGAAGGTAGTTCACTGTCCAGGAAAATGACCAAGACGCACATCCAGAATTTAGAAAAACAGATTCTGGTGTGCTGGCCTGTACTTTACAACAATCTATTAAACTCTGTATATTTCAGAGGTGGTCATGGTAGCACGTACTTAACCATGATAAGAATAAAAGTCATTGTTCTAAGAGCACAAGGAAAAAATCCTCTCAAGTGCTACCATATTCACTGTGGAAGGGTTTTTTTTTGTTGTTGTTTGTTTGTTTGTTTTGTTTTGGGGAACCAGGGACTGAACTCAGGCCCTTGCGCTTGCCAGGAAAGCGCTTATTCCACTGAGCCATCTCCCTGGCCCCTCACTGTGGAAGTTATCTTCACCTTTCATAACTTATTTCTAGAGATTTTTGGTTTGTTGAGTTCACTTAATGTAAACTTATGAAGAACATAATATAGAAATATACTTCCAATGACAAGATCTGGCCAACAGAGTACCACAAGTTACAGGAAGGAGGCAAGTTCCAAAGATAAAATATGACTGACAGTCACCTGTACAATAATGGTTTTCATTTCTTAAGACCCTACTGGGCCAGGAAGATAGCTCAGTGGAATAAGTGCTTGCCTGGCAAGCACAAGGTCCTGAGTTCAATTCCTGGTACCACCAAAAAAAAAAAAAAAAAAAAAAAAACCCAACCCTACTACATAGGCCAAGTTCAACGGTGTTATAAAATATTTAATACTTAATTTCTAATACTTATTAATCACAATATCCTTATTTTTATTGAAGAGGGATCTGATTTGTAGAATTTAAAATTTACCCAAAAACCAGTTATAATTGGGAGAGAAGGTACTAGGATTCAAACCCAAGTGTCTGTCTCACTATAAACTCCATGCTCTACAAGTAATTTGTTAAACACTTTTACTTTCCAAAGATCTAACCTAAATATATATTTTTGAATTCTGCCTGACTCTTCATTGCAAGAAAAATGTTTGCCCAAAGTTATAAAGCATCTCAAACTAATAAAAAACATACCCTAGGGGCCGGGGAGATGGCTCAGTGGAATAAGCATTTCCCTGGCAAGTGCAAGGGCCTGAGTTCAATCCCCAGTTCCAAAAAAAAAATTCCCTAAATTTCCTAACTCATATCTAGGTACAGTACTTCAGCACCGCAGCCCCTGCTGCCTTTTTTTCTATAATTTCTCCCCGAGTTTCATGTTACTTATGACAAGGACACTATCCTAAGGCATCATTAAATTCCTTAGGTCTTGCCTCTGATACAATTTATCACTGTATTTGTGTAGTTAAAATGAAAGGGTTATCTGCTATCCCTTATTCCTGAGGCAATTACAACAAAATGTTTGACAGGATTCAAGGTTACAATTCAATTGAATCCTATACAGTAAAGTCCATGCAGCCCTCACAAATCCATTTATTGTTGTTCTGATAAAAGAAAGATCATACAGAGCAATTAAATTGTTCTTATTGAAATTAGAACCATAATCCTTTTTTCTATGAGCCACAACTCTGACTTTTCCAATATTAGACTTTTATTTTTTCCCCTGTGCTGATTAGCTTGGGAGTGGACAGCCCGGATAGCCAACATACAAGTGATGAAGAAATGTTCTGACATCCAGGAATACTTGGTGTTCTCGGGCTTCCCCCAAAGCTGTGTATGAAAGAAGCTGACAGCAGGCATGGCCCCACAATGTTCGTTTCCCCAAAAGTACAAGCATTTTTTCACCCTTTCAGGTCACAGTAAATTGAACAAATAAAACATTCTCTTCTAATAATCCTGCTGACCAACAACAGAGTAGGGAGGACAAACTTCTTAAAGAGTGAAGAACCTCTCCATTACCTTTCTACGATCAAAGAAGATGCCAGGGTACCGCAGTAATTGGGAAGGGGACAATATCAGTACTGCTCTGTGGAGTACTTTCTTGCTGCGGCTGGCCACAGAAAGTCATTTGAACAGAAGCAAGGAACCTCGGAGAATTTCAACGAAAGCTTACTCAGAAGAGCAGAAAAGATCTTTCTACCTGTATTGCTCGGTGAAAACCCAAAAGCGGTAAGGTTTTTCTACATGTCGTCGGGGTCTCTTCCCCGGATGGTCCAGAAAACAACACGCGAGTGTGTACTGAGGGGCGGAGGGGACATAGTATTAGACTTCTCTCCTCCCCCTCCTGTTCCGAGGAGCAGGGCAGAGCGCTACCTCCATGTTACCCTAGCGAAGTGACAGTGCCACCTGGAGTGTCCGCGTCCGGCACGGGCTGCCGGGTGGGGGCAGAGCTGAGACCCGGTCGGGGAAAGGGGTCTCTGCTCCTACGATCGGAAAGGAAGGCGTGGAGGGTGGTACCGCCGTGCCGAGAGGATCTGCGGCTCCCCTCCCTCCTCTCCGAGAGTCAGCCCGGCCCCAATACCTTCTTCACTGTGCGCGGCGCCTCGGTGACGGTGCCGTCGGGGCTGACAAGGGCCTCGCCGCCGTCGCGGTGCCGCTGGTGCTGGTGATGTGGGTCGCTCCGCTTCATGGCCGACGCCTGCGGCACCTTGCCGGCGGCAGGGCTGAGAGCCGCGGCGGGGCCCGAGCCCGGGCCGGGGGCCGGGGGCCGCTCGGCGACCGGAGCTGGAGCCTCGGGGTCCCCGCCGCCCGCCGGGGGGGCCATGGCGCCCACAGCCGCCGTGCTCAGTCCCAGCTGCGGCTCCGCCTCGGAAGGGCTCAGGTCCTTCAGCTCCACGTCAGGCACCTTGGCGGCAGCCGCTGCTGACACGACCTGCACCGACATCACCGCTTCCACTGAAACCACCGGCTCAGACTCCAGCTCTGGCTCCGGCTCGGCCCCGCCTCCCACCTCCCTTCCCTCCCCCATTCCCCCACTCCTCCCCTCCATCGCCTCCGCTCCCACCCCCTTCCTCAGCCCGCCAGCTAGCCGGCCACCCCGGTCCCCCACCCGAGCGCGAGGCGCCACGGAACCTGTAGTGCGCTTGCTGCGGGCTGCACGCGGCGCGAAGACCGTGGGACCTCAGGGCCCGACGTGCACTGCGCGCGGGGACGGGCCGTGGGGGCCCCTGGGAATTGTAGTCCCCTTGGCTTTCCTCCGATAAGTGGGCAACTGTGGTCGACAGAGGGCTTCAGGGCCCGCGACTAAGTGGAACGAGTGCGGGAGGGTGATGCGACCTAGAGGAGGAGAAAGACCACGTCTCCACAGGAGTCGTGGCTTCCGGATAGACAACGCCAGAAACTCTAGGGAAAGCGAGGGAGGAGTGACTCTCTCCTGACAGCGCGCATTTCCTCTGTGTGCGCGTCTGCGATCACGTGGGCGGGCAGCCTTTAAAGGAAAAGCGGCGTGTCACGTGAGGAGAATGCCACCTACAGGGTGGAGGGCTTGGGCTTTTTCTCGAAGAACTGCAACCTAAACTAGCTTCCAAACTTCAATGGCTTGCTTTTTAAAAGGGATAATGTAGAGCCAAAGTCAATCCTTAAAGAAGCTCGCACTAGATCAAAATTTCACTGCAGGAGTTAACGTCTTTTGACGTATAAATTCGCTTAGGGAAATAATCAAAAATTCAGATTCATTTGTAGCATACAGAAATGTGAACCGAAGTTCAATAATGACTTCCCTAATCTTTTTTTTTTTTTTTTTTTTTACATTTATTTATTGTGTGTGTGGCCAGCTCAGCCCACCAGGGGGCGGGTCTGGCTGGCATGTGGTGCTGGGGATCGAACCGCGGTCCCTGTGCTTTGCCAAGCTTGTTTCAAGAAGGTGCTTTAGACCACTGAGCCATCTCTCCAGCCCCAACTTCCCTAATCTTACTTTCTTTGTACCATTCTAATTTTTAAATTTGGTATTTGTTTTAGAAGGTGCAAGGTCAAATATGTGAGTGGTAAGTTCTTTAAAAAAAAATTACTTATTTACTTGGTACAGGGTCTTGCTACACAGCTGCGCAGCTCGGACTCGTAATGATCCTCCTGTCTCAGCCTCTCTAGCACTGGAATTATAGGTGTGTGCCACCACACCTAGGTTCAGTGACCAGCACATTTGCGGTGGTGGGATTTGAACCTAGGTGTTTGAGGTTGCCTGGCAGGCGTGTAACCGCTGAGCTATTTCTCCAGCACCAGTAGCTTTATTTTTTAATCACAAAAAGGTATCTGAAACTGATACCAGCGACAGGGGAATGGTTACAATCTTTAAAAGTTATTATAAGAGCTGGCCAGATAGCTCAGCAGACTAAAGTGCCTGGTTAGGCAGAGGCAGGGACCAGGGTTTGTCTCAGCTCCCTTTTTATTTTGAGACAGTGTCTAAGTTGCCAAAACTATCCTCCAACTTGTGATCCTCCTGCCTCAACTTCCTAAGTAGCTGGGATTACAGACATGTGCCCCCATACCCAGCCCGTATTTTTTGTAAATAATAAGGAAAAAATAATAAAAAGACATTAAAATGTAGTTGGCTTTTGACAGATTTTGATATAGGATTTTTGTCTCTCTCCTAGAAAAAAATGAGGCAAAAGGATCTTATACTTTAGCTGTTCAGAGAGTGACAGCTCTGACAATTCAAATGGGCCACTGGACATCCAGCCATTGAAGCCTCTATTTTCCTCCCAAGAGGAGAAAGGGAAAAACCACCTACCTTAAATCTCCTTTCCTATGCTACTACAAACTTGGAAATTTGTTCACCTGGTGGAATTGTTCTACCTGAATGGAGGCTTCTATTTGCTACCTCCAAATGTATGCCTCAATATGTGTTGAAAGGCATCTAATCATTTTTACAGACCCACCAAATCCACCAGACACTAAAGCTCTTAAGCTTTCTCTTCACATTTCTGGCTTTCAGAATTTCCTTCCTGTTAGAAACAAACCAGTGCTTCATCTTCCAGCTGTTGGAGCAAAGAGTAGCAGTTCTATAACTGATTTCCTTCTTCCTCTTAATTCACAAGGAAGCTGCAATACAGCCAGCTGGCATGGCTAGAACCTCATAGGCAGCAGCTGCCTACCTGGACTGCCTCTAGAATTGATTACTGTGGATGAATGAAATCTTAAGAGGGAACATTATAAAACATCAGGAACACTGGGAAGAAATGGATATGCATTCCATATTTATCCCAGTCTGGATCCAAGTGTATGTCGGGTCACACGTCCCCCATTTTCAGCTCCATCCTACTTCTACTTTGTTGCCCAAGGACACAGGTATAGTTGAAGACAAAATTACTGTACTGGAAACATGATCAAATACAAGTTTATGAATTTTTTTTAAATTTTTTATTTGTGTGTGTGTGTGTGTGTGGCCAGCTCAGCCCACCAGGGGACAGGGCTGGCTGGCATGTGGTGCTGGGGGATTGAACCGCGGTCCCTGTGCTTTACTAAGCTTGTTCTAAGTAGGTGCTTTAGACCACTGAGCCATCTCACCAGCCCCAAGTTTATGAAATTTAGACTATAGGACTTTTTCTTTTATCTGGTTATTCAGCTTTCAGAATGGTGGCAAACAGGGTCAAAGCAGCATAAGCACCTGCCTAGCAAGCACAAAGTCCCGAGTTTGAGCTCCGGTACAAAAAAACAAAATAAAAACAAACAAAAACAACAAAACTGTGGCAAACAAAAGTGCATTTTGTATGCAGGATATTGTAAGAACTTCTCTAAGGTATGTCACCAGGGTAAGAGAGAAAACAAAGAAAGCAATCCTGAGAGTTCTCCCAAGGGAATAGGCAAACCAGATCAATCACAGTGGAGACCACACTCCACACAGTTCCACAGAAGTTCTGTGATCCATCAAGCACAGTGCTGTTACCTCAGCCACCAGACAAATGAGGAACATCTCTAACACAAAAGGCAGAGAACAAAAGAGGCAAGCAGAAAAAATAACTTGGAGGAAATGGCAACAGAGCAGTAAGAAGGTGAGACAAGTGGCCGGGGATATGGCCCAATGGTACAGTGCTTGTCCAACATACAACCAGGATTAAATTTCCAGCAACGAAAGAAAAAAGATTAAATTGGAGACTCACAATATTGCATTGATGAAAGAACATATCGTTTCAAGGAGTGAACATTTAGAAAACAAAAAGTACTTTGAGATGAGAGTCTGCTAGTAGAATTTTTAGACAATAAAATTTAAAGTAGGAAAGGTGAATTCATTTTTGCTTATTGTTGAATGATGGCTTGTTTCAGTGTTTTAGTATTTATGTCTAATGTGCATTTTAATGATAGATGTAATATATTGAATAATTTTTGTTTTATAGAAGAGGGGTTTTTTAAGAGTACTGAGGATTGAAACTGCACCTTTGCATTTTTTTTTTTTTTTTTTTTTTGAGGCAAGGTCTACCCCTGTCACTGTATTGCCCAGGCTGGTCTCAAACTTATTGCCTTAGTTACTTTCCTCATTGCTCAGACAAAATACCCAACACTCAAGTTAAAAGAGCAAAAATTTATTTCACCTCACAATTTGTAGAGGTTTCACTATAATCAGCTGGATCCAACGCAGGGTGGTATGACAGAGAGGCATCACAGCGGAGAAACACTTCATGACAGGCAAAAGGCAGTAAGCAACAAGTGACAATGACTCTCTTTCTCTCCCTTATATTTTACCCAGACGGCCCAAAGGGTAGCTCTCACGCCCACTATGGAGGAGCCTTAATCCTAACGCAGCATGATTCAATCCCAGCACCATATCCTTCATTCCAGCACCACACAACTTAGATCCAGCCACCTCCAAAACACCCCCACCTCCCACCGTGGCCGTGTGAGGCTCACAGAGGACACCTAGACCCAGTCCATAACACCATTTTTCTGCCTCAGCCTCAACTGCTCTGGCTACAGGCATGAGCAACCACACCCAGCTGGAAAAAGGCAATCTTTTAGAAATTATTTTTCAAGGACTGGTGAGATGGCTCAGTGGTCTAAAGCACCTACTTAGAACAAGCTTAGGAAAGCACAGGGACCGCAGTTCAATCCCCCAGCACCACATGCCAGCCATCCCCACCCCCTGGTGGACTGAGCTAGCCACACACACACACAAATAAATAAAATAAAATTAAAAAAAAAAGAAATTATTTTTCAAGCTTTCCATATAGTTTTTTCTTTAAATTTCAAAAATAGGGATAGGGTTTTAGCTCAATGGTGGCACTTATAATATGCATAAAGCCCTGGGTTTGATCCTTAATAACGTCATTCATTAATTCAAAACCCAAAGAAAAGATGATAAAATAAATTAGCAGCACAGCAGTCCGGAAAGCCTAGTATTTGCATAATACAAATGTCAAAAGGAAATAACAAAATGGAGGGGAAAAAAGAACTCAGAATATTTCCCAGAACTGAAGATGAGAGTTTCCAGAATGAAAAGGACCATTAGATACACTGCTCAGTGGATTAAAATGGACACATGTTAATACACATTGCTATACAAATTCAAAATTCTGAGAACAAAGACAAAATCTTTCAAATGTCTGACGTGGAACAAGAGATGATTCCTTTTTAAGGCTATAGCCAAGGGCCAGTGAGATAGCTCAGCAGACTAAGCTCCTGCTTTGGCAAGTACAAGGACTAGGGTTCGATCCCTGGTACCGCATGCTGAGCCCACCCTGCCCTAGGGTCGCGCTGAGTGCACGCTGTAATCCCAGCACTGGACGGCTGAAAACAGGAGGATCATTATGAGTCTGAGCTGCATAGTGAAATCCTGTACCAAACACATAAATGAAAATAAAATAAAGATGAAGCTACAATCAAAAAGATATTGAGGGGCTGGCGAGATGGCTCAGTGGTCTAAAGCACCTACTTGGAACAAGCTTGGCAAAGCATCAGGGACCACAGTTCAATCCCCCAGCA